AAACAATTGACATTCATTTAATTACTGTAAACGAAACAGCCCCTGCATGACTTTGCATAGTAAAGCCTGTTAATGCCAAAAAGGTTCAGTGGGTGGAAGGAGGAATTAGGCTTTTATAATTGGAATGCAACACTTGAAAACCAATTTGGTAACTGCGCTTGATTTTATTAGCATCTGATTCTGGCAAAACAAATGTTGAGCAATGAGAAAAACAAGGTAAAGAGGAGGTGGGAAGAACACAGCAGGGATTAGATTTTACTTATTGTACAGCTTGTCTGGGTCTGGAATGGACATCTTCCATCACTCTGCTTCCCAGAGACACTTTGCAGGGAGGGCTGCTTGGAGGTTGTGCCATACCCTATATGTTATGCTGTTCATTACCTAGTTGAGCAACAAGATGTTTGTCCAACTGTTCCACAAACTTTTGTGCCACCTGCTCCAGGCACCAGATCCTTCAGTGGTGGAAGGACACTTGAACACCCCTGGCCAGGAGACCCTGTACCTCCGGCACCATCTCTGCAGGAACCCCCTGTAGCTCCTGAAAGATTTCCCTGCTCTTACCTCTCCCCTGAGGTTTGGATGCTGCTCAGGTGATGGCACCAGCCCCAGCCATTAACCCCGACCTGCTCCATGGCTCTGAGGAGCAGGAATGGCTCTTCTTCATCCTCTCCCCGATGCCAGAGCTGTAGGTGCACCTGAGCTTCCAGCAGTTGTGCCTGCAAAGCTGTCCTGCTTCCCAAATGGGAAGTCATAGAGGAAGGGCTCTGTATTGGAGAGATTACACTTGTACAAACAGGTTTCCTGTAAAAGGGTATTTAAGGGCATAACAGTGTGATCTGTTGGCCTTGAACTAGGACTGTGTTTGCATTCAGTTCTTTTATGTCAAGAAACCCTTAATGGGGACAGAGTAAGTGGTGTTGTGTTGCTCATGATCACTGATGATACATTAGCCCGTGGACATCCTGGTAAATTTAAGAAAATGAGGGAGATACTTATTGTCTTTGTGCATTAGCATCCATAGCATTTCCTCTCTAGAAATATGCCACAGGATTAACAGGATGAGGAAACACAGAAAAGGAAAGGGTGACTGAATGATGAAGGCACTGACCCAGAGCTGAACTGAGGTAAAAGGCAGCAATGAGGTCCCCTGTCACCACTTCCAGAGCAGGGGGTGTAATTTGGAGACAAGACTGAGTCGTCATAACCCCAGACTTCCACCTTTGTTCCAAGAATGGCATCCAGCACCAAGGCACTGAGACACTGTGCAATCCAGAGCTGTTCTGCTTATCCATCAAACCTGGATTAGCCTGGATTTCTTCATCCCAGTGGAGGAGGGATAAACTGTTATCAGTGTGAGTAGCAAATCTTACATGCTATCAGAAGCTGCTTATCAAGGACAGTGACATGTTAGCTTTGGACACAGAATCTTTGGCTATTAATTCTCAGCTGCAAGAGCAAATACCATGATCTTTAGGAAAAAAAAAAGCAGCAGTGCATCAGGAACCTTCAGTGTCTGCTGGTGAGATTCTCCCTCTGGAGATGAGGCACCATGAACAGCCAGAGTGTTCACCACCAAATGGTGAAGTAGTTGAGGACAACCTTCAACTGTTCACTTGTTTGAAATATCCTGCAAAACTTAGGCAAAACCATAGTGAGATAAACTCCCCAATTCCGTGGGATTTCTTCTTGCAACTCTTCACCTTGTGTCTCTGCTATGTGTTAGTTTGGGGAGGCAACTCCATTAGTGGCAAAATAGCACTAGGATCTGGCAGCAGGTGCTCCCACCTCGCTCCCTTGTTTGCTTTTCCCATGGGATGAAAGCAAGAGGTTTGATTAGGACAGTGTGTGGGTTGTTACACTGCTCCAGGAACGGGACTAACCTCTGTGTGCCCAGAACTGCACATCAGGAGTCCAGGAGGCAAAAGGTCTCCTGCAGCAGCCTCAGCTGCTCACTGGGCAGAAAAACCCCGTCAGAGCAGCACCAGGGGTTAAATGTTACTGCCTGAGGTGGGCTCTGCTATTCCAGCCTGTGCTGGTTAAAAATGCACTGAGGGATGAGTGCTGGTTTAAACAAAAATGAAATCACAATTCCTGTGTGCTGCTGTGAATGGGTCAGGTGAGAAGTGAAAGCTTCGTGCCAAAGGATCGCCACTGGCATGCAAAGCTGACATTGTGGGCTTTAAAATTCCCTTCTCCCAGCAGTCTGAAACCAGGTTAAATAAACTGGCAATGCTAGACTGAGTATTTACTGCCTTGAGAGACAAGGAAAATAAACATTAATGCCGCCACATTCATGTGAGGTGTGCTAAGCTTCTACATGGGAAAGCATTAAAACTCAATCCAGGGAAATTCAAGAGTTCCAGAAGTAATCACCAGGAATTAATCTGATCTGTTATCATGCTGAACCTTTGGGTCAGCCAGACTGAAAACACTTCAGCAGATCAGGATATTTTTATGGTTTCTAAGCCACTATCAAAGAAGTGACCTTTGACTTTTTCTAAGAGCACTGACATGGTTCTGCAGAGCTCCCTCCCCTTTTCCACAGGCAGGAGAGTTTCTCAATTGGCACATTTACTGATGAGCAGGTCACGACTGTCAGGGCAAGGACTTGCAGCTTCCACTCAGAATACTTTCTCAAGCACCACAAGTAAACCCCCTGTTCAGCTCATGCTGGAAATGGATGTTCTGTTCCCCTCAAGCCCCATCAGCACTGGGAAGGAGACCAGTGTTGTCCCAGAGCTGGCCCCAAACTCCACACACGTTGGGTATCGAGGTTATTCTGTCTTTTACTGGATGCCATCACGAGCTACATTTCCTTTCTTTGCAGACACACTGAAGTAATTTCAATTTTCAATGCACAGCAATAAAAAACTAAACATTTCTTTAATACAATTATGGTACCACTTCCAAGGATATTTACAAACGAGGCTAATTATTTTACAGATGAATGTGCTTCTGCTGTTCTAGGCTACTGTAGTAATATTATTCTCAGCACAATCATGCTTATGCATGAGACACTGAACAGAAGGACAGCTGACTTGTTTAATGTGAGCTGAACAAAAACTTGTTCCTACTGAAGGTGAAGGAAGGTTACCAAAATATGCATAGTCATTGAATCGAGGAACCAAGCACCAATCACACATGCACTGGTGGGAGACTGAGGCTGTCAGGACAATTCCATGATTTCTCAACAGCTGTAGAGCACCTCCCACACAGTTAAAGTGTCAGGAATCACAAACAGGGCGACACCTCTGCCACTGATGCTCTGCAGAATGGAAATACATAAACTCAGGATTATTTGACAGCATGGATTGAAGTTAACAAGACAAACTGTACCAGGTAACCAGACACGTTTTGGAGGTGTTATTCCTCTAACACTGCATAGGAAGTTGAAAAAGATTCTCCTGCTCCTGGTAGGAACAGATGGCAAAGAGAGAGAGATGTTTTTTCTGATAGGACAGTCAGAAGGCAAAATAAATGCCCGGGCTCAGCCACGCTACATCATTGGTGTGTTTATGAATCTCTGCATGAGGGAATCAGGGTTATCCTGAAGGAGCCTACAAGAAAGATGGAAAGAGACTATTTACAAGGGCCTGGAGCGACAGGACAAGGGGGAATGGCTTCACACTGCCAGAGGGCAGGGTTAGATTAAATATTAGGAAGAAATTCTTCCCTGTGAGGGTGGTGAGGCCCTGGCACAGGTTTCCCAGAGAAGCTGTGGCTGCCCCATCCCTGGAAGTGTCCAAGGCCAAGTTGGACGGGGCTTGGAGCAACCTGGGATAGTGGAAGGTGTCCCTGCCCATGGCAGGGAGGTGGAATGAGATGATCCTAAAGGTCCCTTCCAACCCAAACCATTCTGTGATCCATGAATAGCTTCACCAGCCTCCTTGGCCTTACCTAGAACGTGTCAGCCATGGTGGGGTTTGGTTTGGGGTGTTCTCTTTGTTTGGGGTTTTTTTACTGTGTTGCTGTGAAAAGAGAAACCGTCAGCTGGGACTGATTGCTTGTGTGTCAAACTTGTGTAAAATTCAATTCCTGGATGAGGGAGACTTGCAATTTAATTGAAAATAAGGTAAATTAGTAATGTTTTTGGTAACTGAGTTAAACTGGAAAAGATGATTCCTGTTGGTAGAGGGTTAAGTGAAGCCAAGGGCAAATACATTGGCAAAAGCTGAAAAGAAAAAGAAAGTGGGGTAAGAGACTTAAGAGCACTGGAAATTATATATATTATTAGTGTTTAATCTAATTGGTATTAGTTTAATAATTATTACATTTAAAAATTATTTTTACTGATCCCTGTTTGACTCAGGCAGCCAATATCCCCCTCCTGACTTCAATAGTGTTACAACAGTTACGAGGCAGTTACTCTTCTAGACTTTAAGGGGAACTACTGGAATGGCCAATTTCTTTCCTGTGGCTGTAACTGGCACGTGCTTCACTCAGCAAGGAATTGGAGCCACAAATTCTTTTGATAGTTTAATATTCTGCAGCAAGTGCCAGTGCTTGTTAAAAAGCAAAGGGAGCACTACAAGCTGAAGCCTTCTCTACCCACCAGGACCATTCCAGAGGCAGCTCCATGTTCCCGTCCCAGCTTTTGGGAAATGACACAGTTGGGCAGAAAGGACAGTTCACACTGTGCTCAACACTTCAGTTGTCAGTGTCCAGCTGCTGAGCCTTCCATGGGGTGCTCTTCCAAACCTCTTTTCAACTGGCTCTTCCAGGTGTACTCCTGTTTCTGGAGCATGGAATGGGCTCTGGACTTGAGGAGTTTCCAGAACCTCTGATGTTCTATGTACAGGGCTGTGGATGAGGTGTTCCCCCTCCAGCAGAGTCTGTGTTCCTGTGCTCTGTGTCCTTCGAGGCTGAAGGGAGCTTATGGAGTAGAGAAAATGCTTTCAGTCTTTGCAGAGCTTTTCTCTAGAACACAGGAGAGTCACAGAACGTGCAAGGTCCTTGCAATAACCTCTTGATCCATTCAGGATCTGCAAATAAGAAAACAAGTTGTTCAAAGCTGGGGGTAGAGGTGAACAGAGGAATGACACCTGAGATGCACAAAGAGGAATCCTGAACAGTTTGTATATATTCACCATGCAGGAGTAGCTGAGAATTCAGAGGAATCCAACTCCATTTCTGTTCTGAAATTTTAAGCAATGCCAGTTTAAATTCCACCTCAGCAGGAGACAAAATGAAGGTGAAACAGTCTGTGCTATATCCTTACACACTCATCTAAATACCTATATAGGAAATAAATTTAAAGGTTCACCATGGCACAAATGTAGTGTTCTCATTTTCTAAACTGAAATTAGATCCTTCACATAACACAGCCCTTGGTTCCTGTTTCTTTGTCCCTCTTCCATAACTGGATGCTAATATATTCAACCTGAATATAAACTAACTGCTGTAGCATTCCAGCACAGATTGTGTTTACCCAGCTCTCATTAAAATGTGGATTTATATATCAATTTCTGCAGTCACTGATTAGTAATTAACATGTCAGACAACAGGACACTGTGAAATGCAGAGCACTAGAGCTTCACGTGGTAACTGCCTGAAAGAGAAAAGCCAATGAAACTAATTCAAGACATTTTGCAGATAAAAGCTAAAAAGCCCTAATCCTGCCCCTTTTGCCAAGGACAATTTACCTTCTGGGGTTGGATGCCGTGCAATGCTGTCGTGAAGCAAACACCTCCTGTACACCAGGCTCTGACAGGACTGGTAGGTCAGAAAGCACCTGTGGAAGGACAAGGCATTTTATCAATATACCACTGAAAAAGGTTTCATCATTGGCCAAAAAATTTTTAGCATGCAGTAGAGGAGGTGAAAAGCTTGAGGCTCCTTAAGGGCATGAGTATTTACCCAAGGTAGCACATAGTACCTGTTAGGCAAAGTTTTTTCTTTGTGACAGACTACTGTCTTGCCAAGGCTTCAGGGACAATCTCTGTGAACCCCACACAGGAAGATTTTATTTTCTAGATGTTCCAGAACTTGTCTGACTTCTCAATGTGCCTATTTTCAACTGTTTTTTTTTTAATTGCCTTTGTTTTCAAACACTGAAGGAGCCAGAACACACTCTCCTTCACCTAATGTTCCACAAAAGATGACTTGTCCTTAATTTTCCCTTGCCTGCTTTTTCCCTGTCCCCACCTTCCTCCCACGTGGAAAAAAAAATGATCAAAAGCATTTTATTATAAAAACACTGTACTGCTACGGAACCAAATCCAATCTCCTCTCTCTCTCTCATGGAAGAGGACAAATAACAGCCAGCAAACATTGCAGCATGGATAACGTGTTTCATGGCTTTTTACTCCAACACTAACAAGAAGTTTAGGTGAACTCTTAAACTATGTTTAAATGATCCAGAGGAGGGTAAAACTTCCTGCAGAGCCTGTTACCTGAGCCAGATGTGCCCGTTGGAGCACACGGCCTGCTTGCGGTCGGTGAAGGGCAGGATCTCTTTGCACAAACTGCAGTGCTCCGGGAACGTCTGTTTGTTCATTTTCTTCAGGATGTGCCCAATCAGCACCTGGAACACACAGGAGTCAGCAGGGATTACAGGAACACAGCTGAAGGGTGGAAATGCCTCCCAGGGTACTGTGGTTTCAGAGCATGATACAGGAATTGCACTGAATTCAAGGAAATGAAGGTGTGAGAAACGTAACACAGCACTAAGTGTTCGTTTATTCTCCTCGTGTTGTCACCTCCCAAAGTTTCTGTCCCACAGTAAAGGGACACAGACCTGAAAAGCAATAATGTTAAGCTATTTTAAAAGTACTGAAGGAACTGGTATCACACCACTGACCATTACAGCAATGCTTTCCCTCATGACTATCACAGTGGATGTGCTAAAAAATAATTCCTGTTCAGAAATCACCTGGATACATGTCCTTAGCAGCCAGCTTGGAGTATAGTGGAACATTTATGTGATCAAATTTGTCTCTGATGTTTCAACAGATATAAACCATATCCTAAGGATCTTTAAAGTGTGACAGCAAACAGATAAAATACAATTTCGAAGTCAGCTTTTAATCACTATAAAAAGAACAATCTCTTCTAAGATAAGAAAAGCAACCTCTCAAACCTTCAATTCGTAGTAACTGGATGCTGTAACAACCCAGCAGTTGTGCCAGAATACTTTCCCAGTGAGTTACTGATGGCCACACTTGCCTGTGATTCCAGCAGGGAGAACACCACACACATCAGTGATGGACATGTGCTTCCTTCCCCTGTCCTTCTGGATGCAAAGTAAAGGCTGATTTTTAGAGTTCAAGTGATTTAAGAACTTAGGGACTGAAAAAGAACTGTTCTCTGCTCAGAGAGGAACAGAGACACCTGAACCACTCCTGTCATTGAGTCTTAAGAGCCAGGAGGCTGATGCAGAGTGTTCCCACCTGTCTCAAGCTCTGGAGCTGATCCTTCCACTGAAGGCTCAGGGAGCAAGGCCAAGACCTGATGTACCACCTGAACAGCCACAGAGCTCAGTTATAGATACTTTCAGAAATTATACTTCTACAGTTCTTAAAACTGGAACTGCAGCATACCTGACTAGAGGAAATGCATCCAAAGTTTAGTTTTGCAGAGATGATAGATTAAATAAGCTCAGTCATGAAAACAAACATCTCTCCCAATTAGTACATGTTTTAAGCCACTGAGAGAAGCAGAACAACCATGGTCCTCTCCCTTGTGCTGCAAAAACCTCAGGCATCATTATTCTTTATTGTACCTGATCCAAAATGCACCATCTGTATTTACATTCCTTCCTACCCCACAACTTGAAGGAAGGACAATTTAAGCTGAATGCTCTGGAGGAGCTGACTGGTAAGGATGACACGACTGCACTTCTCTTTCCCACCCCAGCTGTATGTTCAGGAGGGGGGAGAAGGAAATAACCCCTAACATGGAATCCCCTGAGCACAGAGGTCACTTACTCGTGCTGTTCTGTCATCGTAGCCATCATCAGACATTAAGAAGTCACAGACTCCTCTGGTGGGAATGCTGGTGTTTTCTGTAATCCATGTGTGTAGATAAACTTCTCCCAACACCCGTTTCATGTGTTCCCGTGTCAAGTGCATTTCCACGGCCTCAATCTGGGCCTGTATTTCAAGAAGTTTTTCCTCCATTGGCTCCCGCCCTCCAATGTCACTTGACTGATGGAGAGAATCCTCTGCAGTGTCATCTAAGTCCACACCTTTGCCCGTGTCACACAGGCTTTGCTTGCTGGCTTGTTTCGAAGTTCCTTCCTCTTGATCATCCTCAGTGCTGCCCATCCCAGGGGAATCCGAGATCAAGATTTTGGCGTCCTCGTGTGAAGGTCTCCACGTGGCGTCTGAGGGAGCTTTCTGCATGGACTGATACAAAATCCTCAGGAGAAACAGCTTAAACCTCCAGAAGTAAGTGGAACCACAGCTCTCAATCTTACTATCCAGTGCCTCCTGTAAGAACTGAGGAATGTGCTTATCCTTCAGAATTTTCCAGCGCACAAGATCCGTCAGGTCCACCTGCCGGAAAAGGTTCTGGACAGAAGATTCCAAGAGCTGTGCAGCCGCCTCCTCGAAGGTTTTGAGGGTGACAAACTGAACCTGGTAGTTCTTGTTGACGGGGTGCAGCCCGTTGGCCATGCCCTCGGTCGTGATGACCGCCAGGTACGCCCCGCACGGGCTGACAGCAATTCCGTGAGTCCTGACGGAGCCAAACACCTCCGAGAGCTTGATCAGCTGGTGCTCAAACTTCAGAGCCACGTCTGTGAATATGGGGATGAGCTGCCTGACCTTCCCGTCGCTCGAGCAGGTGTACACCGTGCCGTTCTGCTTGTCCGCCGTCATGGACACGATGGGCAGGGAGTGGAGCCCCGTCACGTGGGAATTGTGGACCTTCAGGCCCGCCTTGGAGATCAACAGGAGGCACCAGAACACGTAAGGGCCCCTTGCAGCCACCACCAAGCTGCAGCTGCACTTCTGGTAGGGGTGGTAGAGGGGGATACATTTGATGCTGTGCACGGGCAGCTGGTCCATCTCCTGCCACAGCACCACGGGCTGTCTGAGCGTGAAGTAGCCCTTGACCGCCTTGAGGTTGACGGGGAGGATCTTAACGGGGCCGTACGCGCTGCCCACGATAAGCCCGCTCATCTTCCGGTTGTTGTGCTCGTATTCCCACCAGGACAACACGCTAGGGGAGCTTATCCCAGACTCTATGGTGTTGCAGGAAGTAATGGATTCCTTCCCCAGGAAGGGGAGCTGGAACTGCCACACGGCGATGTTGCCGTTCTCGAAGAGCACAGCCAGGAGGACACTCCCGACGTCCCGGCACTCGTTGTTGTGCTTCACCTGCTGGGTGGTGCAGGTTCCCGACCACTCCATGCGCACGGGGGCCTGCATGCTGTGCCGCCGCTGGAACTCCGGGAAGTCGCCCAGCTCCCCGCAGGGAGCGTCGGCCTTGCAGAGTTTGTAGCCGGCCTCGAACAGGCGCTCCCCGTAGAGCTCGGTCAGGTCCACCAGCTGCACCCACTGCAGCCGGTTGAGGTTGGCGTGGATGGTCAGCCGGTTGTCCATGGTCAGGGCGGCCAGGAGGCACCTCCCGTTGGCGTCACAGCCCAGAGGGGACCAGCTGGAATATTTGAACCCCCTCATGGGCGTCAGGGACTTCCCCTCGGGGTTGAACACTCGGTCCAGCATGAACGCCTGGCTCACGGTCGGATCCACGGAGCTGGCAAACTTCTCCTTGCACTCAGCCACCTCCTTTTTGGGGCCGACCTACAAGACAACAAAAAGAACTATTAAAACAACTGTACAACTATTTTTTTAGCAATGCTTTCTTGCAATTAATTCCCACTTGAAACAGAGCATCCCCTATGACAACCTACCCTACATTGTTGCAATGGTTAATTAAGGTCACTCCTAAAGATTTCAGCCTCATTAATGCCCTGATGAACTTGTAGGAATTCGTATTGTTTTGACTCTCAGCTATTGAATTTTTTTGTCTGCTGAATCAAAGGGCCTGTTTTCATACTGCTGTATAACATTTAAAGTGTAAAACGCTCAATATTTCAACTCTTCCATATTCTTAGCATTGTCTCGGAACATAAAATCAGATCCACAATAACAGAATTATTATTTAATAAAATATCCACCCAGACTTGCCAACTTTGCAAAAAATCAGGTACTCCCCTGAAGGACAAAGCAAGCCCTGCTGCAAAAATCCTTCAGCTTAGGCAGCAAACCAAGGAAGATTCCTACTTAAAATTGTACTGAAATAACTGCACTGGAGCTCAAGGGATTCTTAGAAAAACCACAGAACTTTAGAATCCCTGAAACCCCCTCAATATTGGATCACATTTCCCCTGGACATCACTGGGATATGGTTTTTTTCTCCCCTGTGCTTTTAAAACACATCAACACATGAGATCCTGCAGGAAGTTGTGTGGAGAAGGGGCAGCTCTGTGGTGGCTCCCCAGGAGGGGGAT